AAAGATCTATCCCATTTCATTGGCCTTCATTGCACCACCCACCAAGTTTCATCCATGCTAACTATGACCTCTGACAGCAACCACTCAGGATACTCTTCCTGTGCCCCAGGAAGTTCATAGCCCAGAGAGGGCATAAAACCCAGGGACTCTCAGCATATCTGCCTTTCTATTTCAAGATCTTCAAGGCATGTGATTCCCCCTTTTCCCCCAGGAGTTCAAGCCATGTGATCCTGTCCACCATTAAAACCATCTTTCCAAACAGCCTCCATGTTTCCAGTGTCTTTTTCCCCACTTGGAACTGAACCCGGCTGGATATTTCTTCCAACACCTGGAAGAAGAAGCGGAAGTACTCTTGTTCAGAAACAGAGCCCTGGTGTTCAAGACAGTACAGAAAAAAACACATTTTATTTTCTACCTTGTCATCTTAACAGGCAGTGGAAGACTTCCTCTGTCAGACATCCTGAGAACTTGCTATCAATTCTTGCAGCTGCTCTGCTAGTTCAGACTCTCTATTGAGCTGGGCTTGGCTCTTGATGGACATGTAGTAATTTTTTGCAGCAGAGAAAAGCATTGGAAGAGGCCATGGAGGCTTCTTGGACGAACAGGCTGCTTAGCAAAATTTCAGGCACTTGGGCTGCCTTTCTTTTCCTCCAATTTGAGCCTTTCCCCCCAGCGTCAACATAGTGGAGTTGTCATTAAAGCTGCCACTTTAAAAACAGGTGTGGCAGCAGATTGGGAGGAGAGCAGAGGAGATGCGTGTTTTGGAACAACAGTAGCCAAATGAAAGAAGGCATTTTTCCTCCAGAAGGATTGGATAATCTAAAACAGGGGGAAAGAACTGTCGTATCACAGCAAGACAAGGCACAACATAAAAAGGGTGCAGGAGCTTTTAAATGCTGGCCGTTAACAGAAAAAGATCTCAGATAGAAGAGACTCGAGACAGAAACAGTCTTCAGAACTCTTGATGCATACTAACAGTACTATAGAGCAAGGGTCTCTAACCTTGGCAACTTTAAGCCTGGCAAACTTCAACTCCCAGAATTAAAAAGCCAGCAAAATCTGGGAGTTGAAGTCTGCCAGACTTAAAGTTGCCAAGGTTGGAGAGCCTTGGTATAGAGCTGTGATGGCGAACCTATAGCAAGCGTAGCCATTTGTCAGGGCACGCGACGCGATGCCCTGTCAGCTGGCCAGCACACATGCGTGCGCTGGTCAGCTGACTTCGGCCTTCTTTTGAGGTAATTTTTCGCTCTCCAGAGGCTTCCCTGAAGTCTCCAAAGCCCGAAAAACCGGCTCTACGGTTTTTCAGGTACTCCTTTCTGGTTGACTCATAGTACCGTTTTTTGCCCTCCGGAGCCTTCAGGAGGCTTTCCTGAAAGCTCCAGAGGTTGAAAATCAGTCCTATGGACAAACTGGAAGTCACCATTCCCGAACTTCTGGGTTCCCCATAGGTCTGTTTTTTGCCTCCCGGAGGCTTCAGGGAAATTCCTGAAGCCTCTTGAGGGCATCTGGAGACGGCGGGGGACTGTTTTCACCCTCCCCAGGCTCCTAGAGAGCCTCTGGAGCCTGGGGAAGGCAAAAAAACTGTGGCAAAAGCAGGGGGGGCGCTGAGTGGGTGCGTGCATTATGGGTATGGCACACTGGCACACGACCCCCCTGTGCTCCCCCCACTTTTGGCACCGCAGCTGAAAAAGGTTTCCATTACAGGTATAGGGGATATATACAGTGTATACACACACACACAGACACACACACACACACAGACACACACACACATAAACACAAGATTTAACAAACTACCAGTTCAGGATCCATTGCTTTTCTCTTAAATCTGGGTGAATATAATTGGGTACAGTTTAGAAAAGAACTTGTGACAAGGCCAACTCCTTGTTCTGTCCAAAATCCACTTTAAAGCATTCCAGGCAAATGGTTGATCACATCCAGTGAAGACAAGCCCAACCCCTTTCCTAATAATTGATTGCACTATCAAACTATTCTTGCTTTTCATAATTTAAAACCATTATTCATGTACTACAGCTTGGAATAAGAAGCAGCAGCTCTTGATCATCTTTTGTGTGATGTTTGTTTATGTCCTTGAAAAGTGCTTCTATACCCTTCCCTCATAGTAAGTAATCTTTTCTCAAGGTTAAGTTTACCCCATTCCTTCTGTCTTTTTTACTGTATATTCACCTCACTTCTCTAATCCATCCAAAGCATTATTATTTTCTTTTTGGGTATTTTTTAAACTATTAGTTCTAACACCCAATTTTGATCCATAAGCAAATTTGATAGTGTTTTTTTTAACATCATTTTATATGGTTTGTTTAGCTTTGGTTTACTGCTAAAAAGTGTGAACCAAGATGTTGTGACTGGTAGACCATATTTTATGATTAGGCTTGTTAGCCCAGTTCTGTGGGGGTTTTTAAATAGTACTTTTATGGTTGTGAAATGTAGCTTTTGCATGATATTTTTAATAAGGCTGTTTATACATATAAATAATATAGATTAAATATTATTAACATCATTATGTTGAGATAACAGACCATTGAAAAATTTAAAAGAAAATATATATCAGTATTATGATTTAAAACTGCAGTGTTAATGAGCATAACATTATTTAGCTTTTTCACCCAGAATTGAATATAATGCTTAAAAGCCACTGCAGGTTGCATCCAAGTATTTGTTGTATGATAAAGTTTTGGTCTTAAGCTCATTACTTGGTATTAAAGTCTCCACTTTGATGTATATTAAAGTAATGCATTATTACTTAACATTGTGCATATTGAAAAAGAAAAAAGGAAGACAAATTTGACAGTAATTAAATACAAAAAAAATGCTATACTTTCCCCTTTTAGGCTTCTTGTAAGTTGCAATATTTGTAAACATTTGGGCCCCCTTATGAGCCCGACTGTGAATGTTTATTTTTGTTGTGCTGTGTGATGATCCAGCTCTGTATTGTCCACCTGCTGCCCATTCATTTGCCAAGACCCAACCCATTCCAGCTTTCATAGCCTTTTGTGGGTTTGTTAGCTTACAAGACACCGGAATGGAGAAAATCAGTCAAACAAAATAGAGGCTTCACCCTCTTATCCTTCCCGTCTTTTAGATATGACCATAGTCAGACCCAGTTCATCTCTTTGCCTAATCCCATCAGACCCAAACTGCTTGCCCCAGACAAAGCTCCCCTGAAAGTCCATCTGAGCCAAACAATAGAAGCCCCCTCACCAGCTCAGCCCCTGGGATGCCTTTACAAGGAAATTGCAACACAGAGAAACTCCAACCTTCCGTCGGTGGAATTCTGGGACTGGAAGTCCACACACCTTCAAGTTGCCAAGATTGAGAAACACTGATCGTTCACAGTGTTTCTCAACTTGAGAATCGTAAGATGCATGGACTTCAACTCCCAGAGTTCCCAACCCTGCCAGTCAATTCCCCAATTGAAGTCCCTGCATCTTAAAGTTCTGAAGGTTGCTCTGTCAGTGATGGCCTCCACATTCCATCTCCTTTAACAATGGACTTCCTCAGCTCTGCTACCCCCCACTAAATGCCCATTTGCCTGGCAATAGAACTCACCACAGGTACAAGGATGTGTAGAATTTCTCCAAACTGGTCCCCACATTGTATCTCTTGGATTTCCCACCTTGTAGCCCACTAATTCCATTCAGGTAGTCCTTTCTTAATGACTCTTCAAAGCTACAATGGTCCTCAGATTTACAGCCATTGTAGTATCC